TCTGGTGCTAACATTACATACGTGAGAAAAATTTGCAAAATTAACAAGTTAAATAGGAAGCTAAAATGGAATTAAGTCGCAGACAAAAAGACAAAAAAAAACATAATCGGGAGCGAAATGATAGAAAATCAAGTCTGGAATTGAATCAGAGCTTAAATTTGTTTCAATTGAACGAATCACTTATGGGAATTATGCGAAAATCTTTTCTTGTTAAAGTTAAATCGAATGCTGATCATAGTTTTAGTAGCCAATATATCATTGGATAATTCTATAAAAATCAATAATTATTCTAATAAATAGAATAATTAAGAGTTGTTTAGTAAGTTTGCTCGATGAAATTGTTCAGTAAATTTCATGTATGAATAAGCTCTTATATAAGAACTTGGGAAATCATGTTTGAATATTATCTCCAATGAACCCAAATAAATTAACATTCTGATAAAGTCCAAGCCATATATTTACAATAATACTTATATAAATTAAATAAAAACTAAATAATAAACGTGAAACTCTCTTTGTACTATATTAATTTCAGCAACATAAATCGATCTTGCTAATATATATACAGTAAAACTTCTATAATGTGAACTTCATCAGGACCAAAGAAAAACTTTCAGTATAATAGAGGGTTCATAGAGGAGGGGATCATGCAAATTCAAAGAAAAATATCTGTTTTATCACATTCTGCCTCCGTTTAAGTAATTCTTATTATTATTTTTGTCTTTTTTTACTTTCAATACTTGAAAATCTTTTACGAGATGCATTTTAAACATCACATCTAAGTCCTGTTTAATCAGGTTTAAAAAAATCTTGAATAGATCATTGTTTAGACATATTCGAATCTTAGTAGATATCAATAAGCTTCGACTGTAGTTGTGTGAGATATGGATGTAGTTCAGAATATTTAGTAGTTGTTAACAAGTATAAACAACAATTCACCTTAATTGACTACGACAATGATGGTGGCTGTTCAATATCTAAATCATTACCATTAGGTATATCATCATTTGCAATACCATCAACAGCTAATCTCTTCTCACTAGCATCGTTCAATTGATAGAAAACCGGCACATCTTCATCTGCACTCTATAATATTGAAAAATAAGACTTGTAAGGATTTATTGTTAGAGACTATAAAGTGATGATGAAAAACTCACGACAAAATCAGCTGCTGAAATGAAATCATCATCGATTGTTAAATGTTTAAGTACGTTATCAAGTTCATGTAAACATTTATTTTCTTGTTCAACACTATCGTCATTGGTAAATGTTGTTTGTATCAAGATCGAATCTGGGGAAACAACAGCATTATCAAGTCCAGCTTCTTTAAATGTATTACGTAGAATTGTCTCTGTGATGAATTTCCAAGCAGAATCAATCCAACAAACAGCATATAATACCGTTATGACAATATAATCGCTTGAATAGGCACCATTAGCATTTGCAATAATATGTTGAACAAGATGTTTTCGACAATAAGCGTTGAAAGTTCGAATTATACCTTGATCCATAGGTTGAATAACAGCTGTTGTATTAGCGGGGAAACATTTAATGGCGATGTTCTTTAACTTGATCTCAGGTGGATGTACTGGTGCATTATCTAAGAACAGGAAAATTTGACGTTTTTGTTTTTGAATCATTTTATCAAATTCGTATAACCAATTAGTAAATAAGGTACTATTCATCCATGCCGTTCGATTATACCGCCAGGTTATAGGTAATTTTGCCATATCAAGATTTTTAAAACACCGTGGCTTTGCAGCTTTACCTGAAATTAATGAAAACATAAAACACATCATAAATGGCATAAGTAGATAACAACTCACCTATTACCACTGGCTTTAACTTATCTGTACCAGCCCAGTTGGCACAAAGCAACGCGGTGAACCTCTTCTTAGACTTTCTGCCACCTAATGCAATCATCTTCATGAACAACCAGAGACCGATAGGACATTAACTTGAAGAACAGGTCCGCTTCATCACAATTACATACATCAAAAGGATTATAATGTTCGAAAATTTGTGGTAAACGTATTTTCTAATCTTCAATTGTATCTTTATCAACAATTGTACCTTCACGAGAAATAACACGAAAACTTACACTATAACGATTTCTAAATCGTTCTAACCAACCATTATTAGCTTTAAAACATGATGAATCACCGATTTCTTCAGTAATTTTTCTAGGATCATGATTCACTGTGCGCTTCGCCTTTTTTTTTCAGATTAGTGTCATAGTCAGTAACATATTTAT